AATTTGTCAACACCACAAGAAGAGGAGTAAACATATTTTGTAATGTCATAATACTTGATTATCTCCCTTTTCACATGACTGATAAGGGGCACAGTTGCATTTCTGCTGTGTCTAAAGACACAACAAATATTATGACATTAATTGGATTATTATTTTTTTCCTTTCATTCCAAGTAAAACTTTCTGTTTCGTGAAATGCAATGGAATATTCAAGTCAGTTAAGAGCCATGACTGGAGGTTTTTCCAGATATCTTGAACAATTTCACAGTCCCAAAAGAGATGGGTAATTGATTCAATGTTATATTTACAAAAACTACAAATGGGAGAGTCTATATACTGTGATCTTAAACAAAAACTGTTTTGTAGGTAGAAAATTATGGATAATTCTGTATTGTAACCATCTTAGATCAGTACTATACGTGCACTTCCATGGGATAATATTAAATATTTCCCAGTCCTTTGGTAGGAGATTTAGATTCAAGCTATCCCAGTTTTTATTATAGTGTTCTGTTTTAAATTTAGAGCATAGGAGTGTTTCATAGAAGTATTTGCTACCTTTTTCACTGAATTTTAGTTTAGACAAATTAAATGGGTATGTCGGTTTAATGCTCAGAGTTGTAAAATGTGAAATATTTATCTTTAACATGTATGTAATAATTGCTTGTTTGACCCCTTCAAAGGTCAGGAAATTAGTTCTGAGTTTATATAGATCTATAAAGTCATCAAAGGATAGAAATTTCCCTTCTGCTGTCAACATGTCAGATACAAACACAACTCCCTTGTTATACCAATATTTATACAGAATAGGTTTGTTATCAACCAATATGTCATCATTACACCAGAAAGACTGTGACTGGATTTCAAATTCACTTGTAATAGTATATTTCTGCTTAGATATAAACCAAGCCCAAGCAAGTAACACATCCTTCCAAAACTGATTAGTTAAGGTTGGAGTAACAACATTTTAAATATAATTACTATCTGCAGACCATAGGTAAATTTCACTTGTCACCTTTCTAAAAACAAGATAATCCCATTTATTTGATTTCTGTAGTAATTTCTTACCCATCCAAGCTTTTGGGCAGCAATTGTCTCTTTGATTTTTGGTACCTTTAATCCACCATGTTTAGGGAGAGATGTACTAATGTCCCTTTTGACTTTGTCTGGTTTTCCTATCCAAATAAATCTAAAACATAGTTTTTGAAGTTTATCTAAAATATAATCTGTAGGATTTGGGAGAGTAGCAAATAGGTGCACACTCACTTTTGTTGATCTACACTTTTGGTATTAGCAGGGAGAATAAAAGATGTGCTGCATGCACAGGCTGAATTACGTCTCATGTATGGTGTATTCAGCTTGGCTGTCTTTCTTAAATGCCTTACACTTACTCATGCACTGTGATCCTTTCATGAGCTCAGATATTTTAATGGTCTGTCATTTAAACTGACTCGCGCCTCAGTGGTTACTTACCTACAACAATGCAAGCGTCTTCCCTGATACCCATTAAAATATCCTGCCACATGTGTTATGTCTCATATGTCGCCAGTAGCGACAAATCTACGACATGAAAATTTGTGTGCATATTTGGATAACTTGGACAGCTTATAATTTCAAACTCTATTTCAAACTTTATAAATGAACAAATCATTTATATCCCCGGCATAGGCGGATCCAGAGTGGGGGTGGGGGTGGGGTGGGGTGGGGATGCAGGGGTGCGCACCCTCCTTTGTGCTGAAAGTTTGTTAAAGGACCATTGAAACTCGGGTGAAAATGAATTGTGCACCCCTCCGTTTCTCAATAGTGTGCACACCACCACCCAACCCCCTTTCTCAAAAAGCTGTATCCGCCCCTGCCCGGGAGCAGATATTCATTGTAATTGTACAATTTCAAATGCTTAAGATTTCGTATATATGGGGTAAGACTCGCACCTTTTCGTTTGAAATACATGCCGAATCAATGGGCTGTGTGTCATTAAATTTCCTTCCATGTCAACTTTTTCAAGGAGACCATGTGAAATCATCTGGGAAGGTGTGGATATAAAACGACGTGTATTTTGATCTATGAATGTGCACAGCATCCTTGTAGAATTTGTAAATAAAGTCACAACATGTTACAACTGATTAGAGATGCTCAGGACATTTTTACGAGGGATATTCAAGAGAAAGATGATTTTGGAAAGGCGAAGGTTGGGTTTAACGTAACATACTACGTTATGTTTATTGCACAGAGGGACGTTTCAGTGTAGATGCTTACACCGTTATCAAGCTAAAATGGTTACAATCAAAAGCATATGAGCAAGGTATGTTGTGACAAGCAGAATATTGTAACATTTGTTATATTTGGGATGACACTTTCTCGGTGAGGGTCCGTTCAAATTTATGGCTAGGGGTGGGGGCGGAGGTGATGATGATTTTTATGGAGAAGCATGTACAATGTGAATAACACCCCATACGTTTTGTTGGGTTGAGTCCCATTTGTGATTCGAACCCGCACCCTCAGAGTCAGGCACCTAATCACCACTAACCATCTAACCCACACAGCCATCGCCACTTCCGCAAATCCCAGATGGGACTCAACCAAACAAAAGTACTAGAATCTGGACTTTACTGAGAAAGTGTAATATCAAATATAACATGGGTTACATTTGGCCACTTTCTAAATGGCATTGTGTATTCAAAGAAGAAGATTAACATTAAAAACAACAGGTAATTGACAACGAGTGGCACATATTTGGATGAGGAAGAGTACATGCAATTGTAAATGAGATGATTGTATACTAAAGAAACATTTAATTGATGTAGTCTATTTCTTCATATGCCGATGCTATGTAAATAGAAGCCATGCAACCCTTTTGACATCCATAAGAAATCTCTACTATAAGCAGAGTGGTTTGTACAATTATGACTATATCATGATCATGTATTTGTTTCAGCAGAATAACAGCTGTGCGATGTTGTTTGTAAACAAATCAATTCTGGAGCAGACAATCCATTGATTGTCACAATGCGACACGATGACAGAGCATGTGGTTATGAATCACTATGAAACAGTGACGATACCAGGTGTTCGCGAAAAGGATGAGCGTATCCTGACCCACCGGCGGCACCCGTCATAAACACATGCTAAGTCTAGTCAATTGTTCACCTGAAACAATTCGGGAACGTATTGTATAATTCAAAATAGGGAATTGTATCGGATATCATTTTTGTCACTATGCATTAAATTTGTCGCCATAAAACTTCTTGAAAGATTTACTGAGGCCTTGAATGTTGTAACCTTGATCAAACAGCTTCTGAGCGAGAGGGGTATGACGCTCTTTGAAGTCCTTATAAAAGAGCACACTCGATTGTACCTCAAAAGTTGTGAAATGTAAACACCAAAGGCTGGAGCTGTTGGAATATTGCTCGACATGAACGGGAAGTTCACTATTGGAAGTTGAAATCATCCCTTTTGTTATTCAGTCTGGTGGAGAGTTTTTGTCACTCCGAATCTTTGTGCATAGATCTAAATATGAAACAGTTGAGGCGTCTCACTTGTCTCCTTAGTTTCAAGTTCAGGCGGGTAAATTAGTGTAAGGCAACTGGCTATTTGATGGTTATTGAACGATATTAGATAATCGATGTACTAGAAGCTTTAATTAAACTTCTCGGTCAAATGACCTTGTTTTGTTTTTGCCAAGCCAAGCTGAAATTCTGATTCATATGCATAAAGAAACAGATCTGCAAGGACAAGAGTACATTTGGTTCCTATGGGTATGCCTACTTCTTGGTGACATGCTTTACCCAAAATTTCACAGGGATCTTATCAATTAGAAATTCCATCATTTCACATATTGTTTTCCAGATGGCATCCAATTCATGATGTTTTGTGAACAGGATTCCAACTTGGTCAAACTGAAACTGAAGGCCAGGGAACTTTTGGTGGTGGTCTGAGAGGGCTGACTATTTCCAATCAGTGCAGTCTTCAGAAATGCAGCAATAAAAAACCCACACCTCTTTTCACCATTCTGGAGCAGGTTCGACATCCCACGCCACGGAAAATGACTGATGGAGACCTATAGTTATTCTTCAATCTGGTACCTCGCAGCGTGGGGTTGCTTTCGATTCAACGTCCATAGACAGACCAGACAACAGAGATATATGTGAAAACACTTCGACGAAGTGTACGCGTTTGCGTCATCCATGCAGTACGAAGGCCAATTTAGACGCAAAAACATCGGCGTCTCTAATGGCGCAGAGGTCTCGGCACCGATAAGTCATGTTACGTCCTTCACTGAGCTGACGACAGGACACGTGTCATCAGGTACACATGTGTAGGTTCGTTATGTTCTGGAAGAGAGATCGGTTTGGAGGTAGGCGCGTTTCAGTCTTGGGTGGGATAACGGCTGCACCAAGGACGCTAGTGAGTGTGATTGAGGGGAACGGGAATGTTGTGAGGTAAGGGAAGGAAATGGTGCAAATGGCCACTATAACGTTTTGCACAGAAGTGACGTTTCAACATGACAACGCCAGACTAACAGTGTTAATGTGTTGCCCTGGCCCGAACGATCACCCAACTTGTCACCCATTGAATACATAGGGGACAAAATGGTTCGGCGTTTACGACATCATCCAAAGATTCCACAAACAGTGGAACTCCGTCCTTCGTCCTCATATTCGTCCTCGGACAGGGAATCATCTACCCACGGATTTCCATTGACATATAGTGACCTCAAGGAGGCGAATGATCAAACAGGTCACACTCACAAAAGACCGCACTTAACTTAAAAGGTTGAGAGCCCCTCCTTGTGTTGTGGCTCATTCGTATATGTCAGGTTCGCTGTTGACTGTTAATCGTTATCGTAAACTGAAACATTTCAATAACTTAAGCACTGATTCTGTTTGTTGTTTCTGCGACCCACTAACGTTTTCCTTTGAGTATGCATGACAATTTACCTTCAGGCAACTAACCTGGATAGACTCAAACCTCGCCTCGCATCTCACAAGAAGTGTCAAATCTTACCTGTGTTTAGGTACATTGAGCGTGAAGACATGGCTCAACAACTGCAGCCCGGCAAATACTGCAGGCATACATAACAAAAGGAAAATCCGTTTCTGATATGGGCCAAACGGTCCAAGGTGATCCTCTAGAATAAGATCAAACTTCATCCTAAAATACTGATATTGTACAGTTAACAAATGATACCCCTTCTTACTATGTACGAGCTTTGTACACAAGTCAAAGAAGATAGAGCCTCAACACACAAGAGGTACTCCTATTACGAAACTGATATGGTCCAATGACCATATGGTCCAATATCTCAACGTGTTTTGAGGTTTGAGAGGAACGTTTACAAATGAATCACGGTCATAATTTACAAAGTAATCTAAGTGTTTTCTTATCAACTGTAATTTGCAAATGTTGATTCTAAAATACACTGACAACCATCTATTTCTACGTCTGTTCAAGTTTAACTTAAAAGTATATATACTATTCACACTTTGCTAAGGATCAAACCCGTTGATTCAACAGAAAACTAAGATGTGGGGTCAAATTTGGTTTAAATATCTTAGCCTACTGTAAGCATGGATCCAAGCTTTCAGTATGTCATTTCATCTGGTGGATCCCATAGCTGCTTTTGACAGGTGTTGTGTACTTATCAATGACCCGTGCCATGATTTGCACAATGTTTGATTGGTGCCATGAAAACTATTTTCATGGTTACTCATGCATCAAGTGCATACGGTTAGCTTAAAGTGGCTGTTTTCCTAAAGATGTGTTACCATATCTTTATTTATCCAGTTTTAAATGGATACAGTTTTAAATTATGAATCTACGTTTAAATAAATTTGCGATTTTTTGTGATCCTTAGCAAAGTGTGGGTAGTATATTTCAAAAGAGATGGAGATGTGGATCCATATCATATTGATGAAAATGAATGGAACGTGGATCAAGCTTTGTTTCCGAATGTGACTTATCTGACCTCGTGAACTATCTGATCTTTCATCCAAGCCCTTATTATACCATCCAAGACTTTCAAAACTGCAAGAGCTTAGAGGCTTATGATTGTTTTGTGTGCGGTTGGGTGAGGGAAGTGTCAGTACACGAGTACAGGACAGCTCAGAAGTCAAGAAAGATTATGAAGGAAAGCGTAATGCATTCACAGTCCCAATGCCGGGCCCAAGCTTACATCCCTGGATCATATGTGATGATAACAGGATTGTCTCACTTGGTGAGAGCTGTTCTCATGTTGCTTCAGTGTTATTTTACTTAGAATCTACAGTAAGACCGACTGAGGGCAGTCAGTACAGTCACCCAAGCCCCAGCTTGCTGGATGCTTCCAACTTCAAGGACATTTGTGGAGTATGCCCCACTACATAAGATTGATTTTACCTCATCCAAGTCCCTAAAGAAACAACTGGACAAGGTGTTGATGCAGAGCTTCCACATAGGACACCTGGCAAGAAGATGGCCAGTAAAGTTTCCATGTCAAGACTTAACGTCAGGACATGCAGTAGTCTGTACACACCGAGAAGTCTGCAGATTCAGACCCCCCTTGTATTGACAGAACAATTTGATGAAAACTGTGTAAATATGTCCAAATAAGATGTCCTAGAGCATTGCAAAAACTTTGTCAAAAATAATTGTGTCAGAAGAAGAAGCAGCGGATTCAAGTATGTGGTACAGCTTTCGTGTTGGTCGCATAACAGCTTCACAGATGAAAGCAGCCTGTTCAACTCCCTGTGAGGACCCTTTGTCAATGCAAGTCTCTTGAGATCTATTTTCTCGGCAAAAAATACAAAGAAGTAGTTGCCTTTGATCATCAGAACTCTAGGTGCGACACTAGTTGTCTGCATCTGAATCCTAATTTTCCGCATTTGGGGTCGTCGCTAGATGGGCTAGTTGAATGTGATTGCTGCGAGACAGGATGTCTGGAAATCAAGTGTACATTCTGCATAAGAGATGAAAAAGTCCAAGCAGTGAAAGGTTCATGCCTCGAAGAGACTGTCACTGGACTGCAACTGAAGCAGAATCATACATATTATTACTGAGTTCAGGCTCACATTTATGTATGTGATGTGGACTATTGTGACTTTGTGATGTGGACAAATTAAGACATCTTGGTTCAGAGGATCGAACCCAATTCTGAACTGTGGAAGAATATTGTTGAACAATCAGCAAATCAGAACTTGTTGGACATTACTACAGTGCAAGAGTATCCTCTCAAGTAGTGTCGGTGAATTCCGAAGCCAACAACTCTACCTCAAGCACATCTCGAACAACCGTCGAGTCAAGAAAGAAAGCCCTAAAGAAGAAAACCCTGCAAGAAATTTCGCGGAACACCAGGCCAAACAATCCCAACCTGAGCACTTCGGGAACGACTGTAAAGTCTACATCCATGAAAGCCCCAATACGCCCAAACCACATATTGAACTGGATACATCAGATGAAAACCTAAGACTGTACTGTATCTGTGCTGGTGCGAAACAAGCACAGATGATTGTTGTGACTCAGATGATTGTCCAAATATACATTTATAGTAGTTTCAGGTGATTGGTTCTGTCCCGATTGCCAAGAAAGACAGTTTCTGACCAATGTTCAAGGGAAGCGTCAGTTATTGTCGAATTTGTATCAGAGCGAGCAACACTGAATTGTCTGTACAATAGCTTTGTATGATTTCACAGTGAAAATGAAATGCATTCTAAGAAAAGAAAATGTTTTAGTAGTGACACTGAATTGCATTTAGAAAAAGAATATTGTAGCAGTGACACTGAATTTATAATGAAATAAATATTGACAATGAATGCTCAAAGACAATATTAAAAGTTACTACGGCCACACCAAATATAAAAAAAAAATTGGAAACCCCCCAAACAAAACAACTAAAACTTTATCATGATAAAATACATTTACAAGTTACCTTACGGTGGTCGACATGGATCTCTGTAAGACGACTTTCATTAAGCATTCAGTTTGTATCCGTTGTTTACAGAATTTGTCACTCCCATACCTCATCAGTGCAGCTTGGGTTATCCAATCATGAAATATGAATTTGTTTCTCATCATATTGGGATAAACTGCAGACATGTTTTGTTGTTTTTTGTTGTCTTTTTCCTTTAAGAAATATTAATCAAAGCCCTGTCAGAATATAACCGAAGCGAACCACTGCAAGCAAACCTTTGATGATTAATCGAATGGTACAACGGAGCGGCACAAATGAGTGAACAACAAACTGTGACTATCTTGTCCAGCATTATACATTCTTCTTCAGGTTTAGAAATTATATAGTCAATTGGAATGGTGGCACCAAGGATCATGAACTTCTGCCTGACTTCCAATCACCCTTTCAACATGTATGCGAACATTGGCAAGTTTCCTTGTTCCTTCTACCTCTGGTCCACACATTTGCTGTTATCCCTTCATGAATGCAGGGTCTTTCACTTCAGCACCAATAAGTGCAACTAATTATTTCATTTCGAACCCTCTGTCAGCTAGCATAATGTCACCATTGCTGAGATAGTCAAGAGAGTTTGAGTGGGCAGTTACAAATTTGACACTGGTTCTTCCACCCCGTCCTTTGGAAATGTAACTCACAGGCCCTTGTGTGGAAGGAAATTCCAATGAAGTATTTGGCAGTATTGTGGTGCTTGTAGTTGGACCAAGTTCTTGCAGTCAAATTTGAGGGGCGGTCAAGAGAAATTTCAAAACATTCAATAATGCAGGTAACTTGCTGTCCAAAGTATACTTTAAGGCAAAGAGACGTCGTAATATTGGAAATGACATTTAAGTATCAGTGGAGTATTCGAACCTATTTTATTCTTTTTAAATATACGCCACAGAAATGCAGTACCGACTTTCATCAGAGAATATAACCCCTCTCCATTATCTCCCACGCCAGTTTTGCCGCTGGTGTGCCCACTGAAGACGTTCCCAGCACAGGCCATCTGATTTTGACTCTCAACTAAACGATCTTGACACAAATGGATGACGATATATCCGCACAAAGCGGGGTGTGGTCGAAGCAAGCCCTCTGGTTGGTTGATGCTTGTTAAGGAGATGTTTACACCTGATGCTTTCTTTTGAGAAGCCATTGCTGGAAAAAACAATCTTACATTTTTAAATCAAGCAGTCGATGAAAGTAAAAATTTAAAAAGAAAGTGCAGATTTACAAGCGTTGACCAATCACAGGGCTTGCTCCGACCACACACCCGTTTTGTGCGGATATATCGTCATCCATGTGTCTCAAGATTGTTGCCGTTTCTTTTGCCGTTCAGTATATTTTCGAAAAAAACATTGGCATTGTCTCATAAAGTTCATCTCTGTCTGGTCAACGCACTGGACGCCCCACGATGCCATGCATCAAGTTCAATGTATCTAAGAAAACCGTCGACACTGTGGTTCGCGAAACACCAAAAAGATAGCTGAGATATGTAATTCGTAAATTAAGTCGCATGAGTGTCAGAATTATGTTCTGGAATTTCTTCAGAGAGCTATTTCTATTTTCATGCATATTGGGCGATAGAAGGTTAAACAGCGCCATCAGAATTGTAAAACTTGGTAAACCCGTATAATATTTCACTTTACCTTTGTCATTTTCGAAATCCAGGGCGTCATGGAAAATGATGCTTTCAAACTTCTGTGGAATAGGCCCAGCAGAATTTAAGCCAACAAACGTGATCTTGTCCTTTTTGATAAAGCCAATGAATTTATATATATCATTGAATTTTCTGTCCCTTTTGACACCAGTGTGATTGGCAAGTATCAGGAAAAGCATACTAAGTATGCAGACCTCGCCTTTGAAATGTCTCGCTTGCATCCCAAGCACACTGTCGTCAGGCTCCCCGTGTTCTCCGTGCCCTTGGTTTGGTACCTCCTGATCTCTTGGCGCAGATCAGGAGAGTGCCCGGGTTCTCCACCGGGAGCACAGCCCTTCTGACGCTCTTGGTAATGCAGAAGGCTGCTGTGTTGGGAAGCCTTCATTTTCTCCGGAAAGTTTTGGTGGGTTCGCCTAGGCAGTGTTTCCTGGGAGAAGTCCCATTCGCTGTCTGGGCTGCGTGTAGAGGGGGCGAGGGCCATGAGCGGATGATGAGCCTTACCAGCCTGACTGTGCCAGGATCATCCGAACCCTCTCTGCTGCATACTATCTTTAATCTGTAAAACATAATAATAATGCCAAGTAGTCTTTGCATTCCTTGGACATCAGTTGGCTTTGGCACGTCAATTATTGCTTGAATCTTGCGAGGATGTGGTTTTAGTCCACCCGAAGACAAGAGATGTTCTATGAAGGCAACTTCTTTTGTGTGAAG